AGTTGTGATTCCTCGTAATAAAGTAATAAAAGGCAATGAATACCGCTACCAGCGAGAAAACAATTGGTAGATAGTCCATCGTGGCGTATCCACAGAGCGCAGTGATTGTGATAACGTGACGATGCTCACTCTGACAGTTTACTAAGCAGACTAATTGTACGAAGAGTCGTCACTCGATGAAAACCAGTTCTACACAGCGGAACTATGTTTTCGACGTGCAAGAACGTTTCACTGTCTCTCTGCCAGTTCACGTCAGGCTACGTTGGGTTAGTAACAATCCTGTTACTACCATCTTTTATGTAACCGATCATAGTGTGCTTAGATTGTAATTAGACGTTTTGCAGCGTCATTGCCGAGGAGGAAAATTTCAAATCATCGATCGCTAATTGAACAATATTCCTTGCGTTCAAAATATTCTTCCGCGATGCATTTTCAAAATATAAAAGTAGTTTCCGAAAATAAAAATAGAAACAGCGTAGTTAAAAAAGAAAGAAAGAAAACACTATTCGGCATCTTCTTGTCTCGTAAACATGTCGTTTCGAGTTTATTAAATTTTATCGGCGTAGCCAATCGACATGCTCGTTCGAAATAATTATCATTTACATCGTAAATTTTTGTTATGTCATCCATCTTATTCTTATCTTACGTAAATACGTAATATTTGAAACTGGTACACTCATAATTTCGTGATATAATTCAACGTAAATTATACTCCGTCAAACTGTCGCTAATCTAATTCTATTAATTGTACCGAAATGTTGTATACGACACGATATAGAAATCTGGAAAAATTGATGGAAAATGAGCAGATGGCGGAAAGCACACACGAGATGGAACAGCTGTTGCTCGTTAGCTCGTTACAAGGAGAACATTTAATAGACGCAAGTTCCGCTCGAGCGCGGAACAACGATTCGATCGCACTTTTCATTTCGTTTGCATTCCGTTCACGACGTCCGCAATTTTCTTGAATTTTTCCATTTGACGAAACCTTCGAGACTCGAAAAATCTCCAAATTCGTTCGATGTTGGTCAAATCGTTCGTTACAGAGTCCAGTTTTCATCCTCACGTTCATACTACGTATTTAACATAACGTGCTTGAAACAAATTCGTGCGTCTCTCGGATTTTATGCGAGAAATTAAGAGACAAAGAGAATCGGACGTTGAATAATTTTACATCAGGGCACGTATCACAATAATACGAGGTTTCACGTCTACCGCCAGGCTTACTATGGTCAGAGCAAGCCTTGCAATCCCTTTTTATCCCTTTCAAAACAATATGGAGCTTTCCATTTAGTCGGGGTTCATCGATGATCAACGTCGACGCTAGATCACGATGCTGAAGATAAGTTCTTCTCAATTGCTCCACAAGCGTTTTTAAATAGCAAATGATTTAGTGGCTTTTCCTCTCTTTTCTTTTTTTCTAGTTTATACAGTATGTGTGAATTGATCAAGCAAATTTCCATGACCCTCTCCCAAAAAAAGCTTACGCCACCATTTTAACGATTTTCGCAGAAAATATGTCGAAGCATATTAATCCGCTCGATCAACGTCACCCACATATTTTATATAATTCACTATATATTGGGTTTCTTGATGTTGGTTTCCACACCACCTCGTACAATCCTTTCGACGGTAGTCATTCTTAATGGTCAAACAAGTGACGGTCCTTTTATCCTTCCATGCTAAAAGTAAAGTACCTCTTCCGTAAACTACCGTGGATTTTTTTAAAAATTTTAGTTTTTTTATCTTACTGGGCAATCCCTTTCTGTTCGTCCCGGTAAAATGACATTTCAGTTTGGCTAGTTCTTGAGCCAAGATGTAACTAATATAGCAATCCGTGAACATATGGTGTCCCCGAGCACCAGGAATTTTATTTAACAACATTTCATAGAGATGAATTGGAATTCTCCTGAAAACAGGTAGATCAGGTCTCACCAACAGCTCGGTTGTGAGTGATCCATAGGGTAAAATACAACAAACGTAGCCAGTATTTGAATCAACTAGAGTATAAACTCTGATATCATCCCATTTTGTTGGTTTTTTCAGATTGTAGGTGATGAATGAAATTCGGCCTTTGAATTTCATCGTCAACTCGTCCATACATATTTGTTCGCCTGGTATAAAATAATCTAAGAATTTCGAAAAATCGTCTAAATTTGAACTGATCTGATCTCTATCCATATTTATAGGGCTCAACAACTTTTAAAGTGCTATTCTCACTGGCAAGACTGTTTCAGGCTAATGCTCAGCTCAGACTAACGCTAAGAATGCAGGCCGAGCTTGGTCTGCGAAAAGAATTGCGATAAGAATATCTTATCGCGTATCGGAAACAAACTTATCGAGCTCGAGAACGTCAGGGCGCCGTACCGGCGCCTCTCAAGTGCAAAGAGCTAATATTTATTTGGGGTGTGGTATGCTTTGAAGCAAGTAGTTGGGCAGAATGGAATTTTTTACAGTTTTCGAATGCGAATTTTGTTTCTTGCAAGACACACAACGCATCTCTTTTTCACTTCGAACACTTTATCCGTCACATATCAGTCAAGAAATGGCTGTTTTGCCCTTCTAAGCGAAAAGGCAAATCGCCACTCTTGCGTTTTCTTGTATTTTTTTGGAACGTTTTTACAATGCATTTGAATTATCTGTCGAATCACTGCCAGCTGAAAATCACCAAGTGTGGTTTGCTTCCCCATTTTCTCTCGGAATGCAAAGTATGCATTTAGGATGCATAAATCGACGAGATGGAAAAAAACTTTTTTGTACCATTTGATGTAATTTTTGTTTAGCTCCGTAGTGGCTCCAGTATAACTGATGAAGTCCATAACGTTCCACTTTTGCAATTACACAAAACAAAAAACTTAATTCCAAAGTGGTTTCTTTTCGTCGGAATGTACTGCTTGAAGAGTAGTCTCCCTTTGAAGAATAAAATACTTTCATCGATGCACAATTTGAAAAGGATAAAAGGATAAAAGTTATTTTTGAAATTACGTCTAATAGTGTCTGTAATTTTTTTTATTTTACACAATCTGCAGCTTGTTCATTATTGCCCGAAAAATATAAATGTTTCATAAGTATTTGATACTTATTGTGTGGCATTGTGTTCGAACAAATAGACGAATGCAATAAAATATCAGTGGACCAGTGTTCTTCTTGCTGATTTCTCGAATTTCTTGACATCAGCAAACAAACGGCTAAGAATGTGTACATTTCGTCGATATTTGTATCGTACCATTTGTCCATTCTCTACGAAGTTGATCCCGCTGGCAGTTTGTTTTTTGCATATCGGTATTGCTTATTAGTTTCTTCAACGATGAACTCCATAATATCATCTGACACATATTTTTTGAAAAAAAACTAATTTCGAAATTTTCGTCCACTTCAAATTTGAGGCCAGAAAATGATGGAGTGAATTGATATGTTGGCAGAGTGGTATTTCTTTCAATCCAATCAAGATCAAAAACATTTTCAGAAGTTTCAGAATCTAAATTA